AAAATAAAATAATTTACCTCATTAAGAAATTCATCAGAAATATTCTGTGAATTATGTAGTTTTTTTAATGCCACAATTCTATCTCTACTGTATCTTCTTTTATTTTCAGCATCTGCATGCTTCTTACCATTTAACCAAGTAGCTTTGTATATAGTTGCAAAACCACCTTCACCTATCTTTTCAATATTTGTTAAATCATCATAAGGAATCCATTGAAGATAATAATGATTATCATATCTTGTTGCTTTAAGTTGTGTGCCTTTAATCAGCTCATCTAATGCTTCATTGCCACTAGTCCATCCTTCAGTTAATAGCCTTGGATCACATGATTGACACCATGAATCATCAGTATTATATCTATTGCATGTTGGACATTCCCCATATACTACATATCTTTTATCAGAATATTCATCACTTTGAGAGTAATCCATTAGAAAGACATATTCTTTTGTAATTGGATCTTGTGTTAATCCATAAATATAGAACTTCATATAATTTTTGAACTAAAATAACAAATAAAATATCTAATTACAATAATAATAATCAATAATTAAAAAATCTGATGGTAAGAAATCAAAATTAGAATTAAGTGATGGGGGAATTTTATGACTAAGATTTGGATCAAACAAGGGCCGTTCAGGATCAATTATTTTGAAAGAAAGCTTGCTGTTTGAGATGAAAGGGTATCTTTAACGGTGTTATTATTATTTTAGTAACACCAAATAAAATTTTATTACAGATCAAAATCTCAGTTGGGAGAGGAGAACAGTGTTTATAATAAATGGATCTCAGCTAACATATGGCACATCTCTAATGATACAGAAATTGATTTTTACCGTTTGAACAGAAGTTCTTATAATATAAAAACTCTTACTCTTGATGAGAATATCATAAACCAAGAGAATGAGACCAAGTACCTAAAAGCTTGATATAAGTCACATTAAGATGCAAAAAAAAGCAACCTATAAAAATTAAGTACTAAATGAATCCTTGGAATGTTGTGATAGGCAGTGAGGTGGGTTGGGTGATGTGCTGCTGTGATAATAAAGATGACAGGTATATCAAAATTTTATAAAATTCAAGATAATTAGATCACAGATTATCTTACTGGGAATGATCTTCGCATTATTGGAGAGAACCATTGATATACCATTGGGTTTATCTTGATTGGAAATATTAAATTAGCCGTTAAATTAGAGACCATTTAATTTTAGCAAGCACGTGATCAAATCTGGTGAATTATTTTGATATTCAGTCAAGTGTTGTTTACATGTCTGTGTAAGCGTATTTTGTTGACCCTTGATTGGATTTATTTGATTTAATATTGTTTTAATTTAAAAAACTGTTGAAATCTATAAATGCCACATTGATATAGTAGTCAATGAAGAGAATCTGGACAAAATCACTAATAATGCCAAAGAAATTGCTCAAAGGTGAGTTGTTAACCTCCAGATAATCACATTAATTCTCATAAAGTAGGAAATATAACTGAATCCAGAAACTCGCATAGATATTATTATTGTTGTTTCGATAACATTTTATATAACAAGTATTAATTTTACAAAATATAAATGTTTAAAATACAATAAAAATTATATCCATTTTTTTATTTTCTTTTTAATATTTTCTTGTCTAGAAATTTTAAAAAATAATAATAAACAGAGTATGATTGAAGTCAAACCTAAACAAATCCATCCCAAACTTTCACCAAATACCCCATAAACAGTTTTAGTGCGTTTTTTAAATGGAAAATCAAATGATATCGTTAAATTACTTAATGTTGGTATTGCATTATAAACTTGCCCGTTGGAATTCCAAACACCTGATACTCCGTATCTGCTACATCTCATCAAGCTAAATCCATTTTCAATTGTTCTAAAAACATTTACACGAGAATAATGAATTCCTGATGGTCCTATTATATATTTTATTACCATTGTTATTAATAAGCATATACTTTATTATGTACAAGGGAAAAAATTCACTCACCCTATTTAAACAAGATATAAAATGTGAAATATATAATTAGAATATTGTTTATAATTGGAGAAAAACATACACACACACACACATAATTATTATAAATATATATACCCAATTCCAACAAGGATCCAACATAAAATCAACTTTTTTCTTAGATGCCTGACCAATCAGGTCAGGAAAATTATAATCAAAACAAATAGCCGCTCCTATAACTCCAAAATCATCTGATTCAAAAGTTTGTAATCGATTGTCTCCTTTTACAAGTGTCGTCGGCATCGGTATTAAATGAGATTTACTATAATCAATTGCCACTTCTCCACTTGGTGTCACAACTATCAACCTATTATAAGTTTTGTCTTTTTCTATACCATCGAGAAATGTAAATCCAATAATAGTGCTGTAAGAAACTGAAATATTTTTAATGTTCGCCATCAAATCATCCAAATCTTTCTGTTCTGTTAAAACTCCTGTTATCTCTGACCACAAAATCAGTTTATTGTTATTACTCGCTAATTCTATCGTTCTGTTAACGTAATCTTCATTATCAAAAGGGCCATTTCCTTTGATGACACACCCAACCCTGGTTAAGTTGGATGGTGTAAATGATGCAATATTTTGTTGATAGAATGGTATGTAAGAAGTCGAAATTCTTATTGATCCATATAGAATAATCATAGATAATACCAAAAGATAGATCAATAACGACTTTGGAAATTTGAATGTGAAAGGAGGCTTATCGTCATTATTATTTTCACTTGGAGGGGGGGGTTTCAATTGTTGTTATCCAACAATTTTGATGATCTTCGTATCTATCTGGTGTCGGCGATGGTAACGGCGATGATGGTTTTTGAATTCTAACAATCAAATCATTTTCTTGATATTTCTTGATCAAATCCGCGCTCACACTTCCTCCCCATGATAAAATAAAGTTTAACCCACCTAATCCTGCAAATGAAGCAAATTGCATCATTTCATCATTTCCTAAAAATACATGTCTAAACAAGAAATTTATATCTTTAATATTATATACTCGGTTTTATTTAAAAATTTTGTTATTGACAAAACTCACGCATAATTATGATAATCACCAAGCGGCCAAGCAAAAACAACTAAAGTCCAAGCACCTAAAAATTAATAATATGTATATTTTAACAAAATCATTTTAATCGATTATTAGATTAAAAAAAAACCAAATATTATTATCATACCTGTCCAAGCACAAGGAAACACTAATGATTTAATCCATCCTCTATTAATACCATCATTACCATTAATATCACTATCATCACTGCCATCATAATCATCATTGCTTTTCCTCTTCTCTTTGAAACAAATTTCATACCATCTATCTATACTTAAAGCAATCAAAATTATCAAATTCGCATACAACATAGGAAGTAGTGCATAAATAAAGATAATAAACTTAAAGGGGGTCTCTTCGCTACGGTAAGAGCCCCAAAATGCAAGTGTTCCTCCAATACTGTTCATGAAATAATACAATAATAGCCACAAGTTTGAAGTTACGTTACGAAAATAATAAATTGATAAGGTAAACCATAATTGTGTGAATATCGAAATGATTTGATAACCTGGACCAAAAAATGATAAAATTGTGAAAATTGGCAGAAGAAAATGTATACGATTTGATTTGTGCATTTTTTTTTTTTTTTTTTTTTTTTTTTTCCTTAGGATCTTGAATCCTAAAAT